TGGTTAACAGTTCACACTGATTCCCACCCTGGCTCAGCGTATCCTACTAGATTTTATCTTCTCATACGACAGGACAGCCCCATGCAGCCCTGACAGTGTTCCAGGCTTTTGTTTTAGTGTTTGTTTTTGTTTTGCTGTTGTTGATTTTACTTTTGCTTTGGAAATAATGTCAAATATATTGAATAGATGCAAAAATAAAAACATTTCAAAGTGCCTCCAAGTACTCAGACTCGATCTCAGTTATAGATAACATTTTACTTCATTTACTTTATAATTTGCAATCCATCAGTCAAACAATATATAAATTTGTGTTCCTCATCCATCAGTGTTCCTTATTTGCCTTCCATATTTCAATGTGTGTTTCTTCCCATGTGTTATTAATGTGCATGGTGAAGCATCAAGTTAAAAAACAAAACAAAAAGATATTCCTTGATGAAAAATGGCTTCTTGGTATATATTATGCACTGACACTTCCATTTCAGAGAGCTGGGGGGATGGTTTGCCCGCGTTTAGTTGAAGTGGACACCTGCCGTTACCTGAACGATACGAGATGCTATACAGCCATGCTCTTCCCTTTACCTGAAGTGCTCCTTTCAAACGCTGGTTCACTTAACATCACACTTTCTTTATTGGAAACATTGATGTTTCAAGGATCAGTTCAAATATCCCATTGCTGTAATTATGCAGTGTTGTCATTTTGGGATTTTGCAGAAATGCATTCTCATGCTGGATTTGCCTGGGTGCTACCCGCTCCCGGAGAAGGAGCCTGTCCTGTCTTCTGGGATGGCTCCAGGGCTGAAGAAGCCTTCCTCTGTTGGACACATGCCAGAAGCTCAGATGAAATCGGCTTCTCCTGTACCGAGGCAGGGTCCATGGTCTGTGTTTTGTTGGAGAAAAATGGACCTTGTTGGCTGAGCATAATCATTCCTCAGTGTCTCCAAGCTGTTCCATGCAGATATCACACACACACACACGTGGACTAAACATGGTTACCTTGAAAAACAGACTAGGAATGCATAGTTCTACTTATAGCAATAGGAAATAAAGCTAGCACCCTCACTTTCCCTTCCCTTCTCAAACACTCCCCCCCTGAAGCCATAGTGAAGCAGGACAACTCACATGTCTGTGTCAGAACAGTTCTGGCTGGGGCTGCAGTGGACTGGGGTTAGGTTTCGGAGCACAACTGAGAAGAAAGAGTCCATGCACTGAGAAGGGGATTCCGGGTATAGGATGTCAGCGCCGAGGTGGGTCAGGGGGTGTCCATTCATATGCAGGATGGCTTTGTGATGTCCAAGTCCAAGCCGAGGGAGGGGATCTTCATGGACAGGGGTGGTAGCAACAGTGAAGATTGATTCAATTGGAAGGTTTGCCAATAAGTAAGTAGTATATTAAGGGTGACAGAGCCTTGTTTCTCACTGTAGGACAAGAGAGTTACAAATAAGGGAAAAGTAGGATGAACTTTATGGTGTGGGATTGGAATTGGAGTTATTAGTCTGGACACATGGTTTCCTATATATAGAAACAGATATAGAAATACACTGGAATATAAGTGTGTGTGAATGCATGGACATGTGTATGAGGTATGTGTGTGTACATTTTTAGTTCTGTCAACTGGGAGAGCCTAGGAGCAGTGACATTTCAGATGCTGGCTTCCAAACACATTTCCCTTCAAAAGGAATTAGAGTGTCTGGAGAAATGGTTGATTCCAGGCAGAAGTAGGAAATTATAAGAAAAGCCTGAAATTTCATCTTGTATAAGAAAGCAAGGAACTTCTCAAAGAATGAGGAGGATCTATTAAAAGGACATACAAACATTGTTAAATGGGCTCCCAACTTTGGCCAAATTTAGGACAAATTGAACATTACAATAAATGATGATATTAATAGATAATAGTTCATTGAATAAAATAGGAAGTACATATATATTCTGATAGAAATAAATAATTCATATGAACATTTAATAAGGCACATAGTTTCAGAGTGGTTTTTCACAAAATGTTTTTATGAAATGAATGAGTAAATGTACATTGGAGAAGCCTATTGTGCATCATTTTAATCACATAATCAATGTGAACATTATTAGGGATGAGACAAGTCAACACCCCATGAGACACAATCAGAAGCAGCATTGGCCATTATATCTATAACATATAACCTAAGTTTAATCATGAAGGAACATCAGGAAATCTCAAACTGAGAGATGACCCACAAAATAACTGTCCTGTATGTCTTCCAACATGTCAAAGACATGAAAGTCAAGGAAAGATTGGAGAAATGTCCTAACTGAGGAAAACTAGAAATATGATACCTAAGTGCAATGCTTAATTCTGACTAAGATATTTATTATGAAAACTTGTAAAACTTCAATCAAGTCTGAGATTAGATGGTGGCAGTGGAGCAAGGTTAATTTTCTGATTTTGCTAGTTGTGTTATGGTCATATGCGAAAACTAGAGGCCCAGTGCATGAAATTTGTGTACAAGTAGGGCCCCTAGGCCTGGCTGGCAATCAGGGCCAATCTGTGGGGCAACTGGTGGGGCGATCGGGGCTCCGCTCACACCTGACTTAGACTGGCACCTCCTGCTCACCTGCTCCACCATCCCGCCATGGTCCCTCTCTCCTTGGGACCCATCAGGGCCAGCAGCGCCTCCACTGCCACCCACTGCCAGCGCCATGTCGCCAACACCTGCCATATTCCGTGCCGCCCCCTGGTGGTCAGTGTATGTCTAACTCCTGTTCAGGTCAAACTCTTGCCAGATGGGGCAATTTGCATGTTAGCCTTTTATTATATAGGATGTCCTTGTCTGTAAATACACAGTGAAGTACTTCAGGAAGGTGGAGCTTCATGTCAGCAACTTACTCTAAAAATTATCATGGGTAAAACATTATATGTATCATACTGGCAACTTTCCTATAAGTATAGAGCTGCTTTAAAATTAAGAAAGGAAACTAGAGGAGAAGCGGGGGGAGCGGGGGGGGGGGGTAGTGGATACAATGCTGGATCAAGTGCCTGCATCCCATTATAGTGTCATTCCTGGGTGGAATGCTCCTGCTACAGATGCTGTTGGTGCAATTTCTTCATAAAGGTTAATAGTAGCAATACCCCAAATTTCCACACCATGTTCAAAGGTGAAATTGATTATTCACTGTGCATTACATCTGGATTGGAGACTTGGAATTAGTCTAAACATAAAACAATGAAATGAATTTAATTTTGGAGTTTGGTTTGGTTTTGAATATAAGTGCTCGCATGAAAAATAAAACATTATAATGCATCATGTTCCTGAAAATAATGTGATTACATTTTAAATGCCCACTATTAAAGGTAATTATTATTAACACAGTCTTACATTTGCCCACTCTGACCTGGAAGCTAAAATGAATTGTGACTAATGGCCCAGCTGGTGTTCCCAAATTATAGCAAAGATTGGACCTCACCCATTTCTGTGAATGAATTCTTGCCAGACACCTGAGATCTTATCCCAAATCACACTCCAAGGGATTCTTGAAATCAGATTTTAAAAAACCCTGCTGTTCTATAACCGTTACCTTGGAATGCCTGCAAAGTGCAATCTTTTATTTGGAAACATTCCCTTGAATTCTGTTGTTTCTACCTGAAAAGAGAAAATTGAAAAAGTAACTCCATGCTGTGTTCAAGTCTTCATAGACTTTGAACTGAGCACAGGATACAATTTTCCCATGTAACGCGCAACCAGGCGATTGTGAAGTCATTCGTCACCAGACTGGGCCATTCCAATCACCAGAGAGCCAAGGGGATATTTAGCTGAAAGGATTTGGGTTGATATGTCTCTTTCAATTTTTGGTGAAGTTATTTAAAGCTGCCAGACATTCTGGAATGTTTGAACAAAAAAGCTGTGTGCATGTTGTCATTTGAATCAAAGCTCCCTCCCTTTTATGAAGACGTCACAGCTTTAAGAATGACCTGGTGCCTGGCTGGTGTGGCTCAGTGGTTGAAAGTTGACCTATAAACCAGGAGGTCACGGTTGGATTCCCGGTCGGGGCACATTCCCGGTTGCAGCAGGCTGAATCCCCGTTGTGGGGCGTGCAGGAGGCAGCCGATCAATGATTCCCTCTCATCATTGATGTTTCTCTCTCTCTCTCTCCCTCTCTCTTCCTCTCTGAAATCAGTAAAAATGTATTTTTTTTAAATGTTGTGGCAATGGCTGAAAGAGACCTGGTTGTTAACCAGTCGACAAGACACTGTGATTACTAAGATGTCAGACTGCATGGCCTCATTTGTAACAACCAAGTTAAACACTGGATTCCATGGCATTTCTTAGGACTGTCTTTGGTGCCCTGTCAATGCTCTATCCTGAACGCAAACCTAGAATCGGGTAGTAGCAACTTTTCCCCAGGAACTGAACAAGAGCAGAATTTTCAGCTCATCTTTTGTCTAGACTGGACTATGATAGAATTCGAGCAAGAAAATTTTTTTTATCCATTTTACCTGAAAATGTATTAAGCATTAAATAGATGTTTGCAAAATACTTTCAAGGAACAAATGCAATAAAAGTGATCAATTTCATTATTACAAAATTATAGCAGAATCATTTAAATGAATCATTTGAAAGGTCTTCATTAAACTTGATTGGATATTATGTTTGTTAATTCATTAAGCTCCACTTCAAATGCCTGATAAATACAATGCATTATTAATATGTCATAAACTAAATGGAATAATGCCATGCAGACCTATTATTTTTGAAGTGTTTTGCAAGTATTAACTAACTTATATTTACTATTCTTTCAAGGACAACTTGTATGAATTAACAGGAATTGTTATAATAATTTTATCTGCCATAATATAAAATCCTTATTACAAAGCTTGAACTCTCTTTAAATTTTCAGTCTGCCTTTTTTCTTGAAGTAGCATATGCTTATTGTAAAATATAGATACATATAAATATTAAAATTTTAAAAATCATTGTTAATTATTAAACTACACAGAGAGAATCTATGTTAACACTTTTGGAATATTTTATTTGACATCCTAGGTTTATAATTGTTA